TCCTTCTCTCTTCAAGAAACTACTTTCTTTCATATTTTTTAATTCAGCAGATTCCTACTAATTGGCCACTGCTATGAAATCAGAGAGGTGGAGTTTATACTGCTGTTGGACAAGTTAGAGAAAACAAAAATCTGTTCGACAAATGAGGATGGTCTGTGGTGGAAAGAATGCAGGAATGGAAAGTTTTCAGTGAACCTTTCTACTTGGCTCTCATCAAAGAAGACATGGCGAGTGATCAAGTAAGAGTGGTGTGGGGGAATCCAGTCCCTCCGAGAGTTGAAGCTTTTGCTTGGATGATCGCTTTGGATAGTATTCTCACTTCAGAACACTTGAAGAGCAGAGGATTCAGCATGTCTTGCTACTGTTACATCTGTAAGTTGGAGGAAGAATTTGCTTTCCACTTGTTCTTCTCTTGCAAATGGGCAAACTTTATGTGGAGATACTACTCTTTTCCTTTTGGAGTTCCCACATTCCATTCTTCCTCAACAGCTTAGATTTTCTCTTTTTGGCCAAGGTTTAGTGGTAGCAAGAAAGCCAAAATTGTATGGAGCTGCATTCCATTTGCAGTGTGCTGGACTCTGTGGTGTGAGAGGAACAGGAGGCTCTTTGACGATAAAGAAAAGAATCTTGAAGCTGTGGTAGCCTTAGTTGGAAAACTTGTCACAGGCTGGGTCCACTCTATTAAAGAATTTGAGTAAACAAGAAATTCAGACTTCACGGAGAATTTCTGGGATCTTCTTGAGATCCAAGCTTGTATTGCAAATCTTTTTAATTTGGACTGATGTACTAGTGTGTCACCTTGACACCTGATCTGATTGTACTTGTTTTCTTTTTATCCTTACTCTTCAAAAAAAAAGTCTGTATTATGAAGTCAATACGACTTTTGATTGCCTTTTCCAAAAGAGAATCCTACAGCTTAATGCCCAAATGTTGAGCAAAATGAAAAATCCTAAGTAGTAGTTGAGCTCGTTGGATTTCGTGACTGTATGACTAGTTTAGTGCTTGAAGATTGCTGTGCTTCTAGGAAATGAGATTTCATCTGGAACCATTTTAGTATTTTTTGTGAGGTCCTTTGATCTCTGACCATAGTTGTCAAGGTGCAAGGCAAAGCTAGGCTGCAATGCAGCATTCTGTTGCCTATGCAAATAGGCACCTGCCTAGGCGATCATTTGTTTATAAAATGTACTTATTGTGTTAGCTTGTTTTCCTATTATTTTTTATGAGTTTGCTTCTTCTTGGTTAAAATAGCTACTAACAATCATTAAGAATTATCTAATATGAAGGAACTAAACACTAAAAGTAGAAATGAACCAGCATTACGAAAGTCAAGGGGTTATTCCCTTCTGCTAATGTGAGATGAAGATGGAAATGGAAATAATGTCCATTTATGTGTATATAAATCAGAAAATGTAAATAAAATAAGCAAACTAACAAAATGATACAACCACTTTTATTTTGAATGCAAGGATGGAGAAAGAGTGTTTTGTGTATGTTTGTGCATGCACATGTTAATTGCAGAGAAAAGGTGGAAAAAAGATAGGAAGAGCAGTGATGCAACCTCACCCAGCAACCCAAAATATGCAACTTGAGAATGATGGATATGTGATAGGATGCTGAGAAGAGAGTAGCGGGCTGAGTTGCAGAGCCTTGAAATAGAGTCTTTGGTATCTCACCTTAAAACTCTAATTCCAGATTGGAGTTTACACCAATTAGTTAGGGGAGCCACACCACTAATAAAGTGACCAAGGAACAAAATTCCTAAAGAAACTACTCAAATAGATTCTCCATCATTAGTTAGAGGAGCCACCCTTAGCTAGGGAGTTGAGAAAGAACTGCCAAAGACTTCTGGCCACAGTACAGTTAATAAAAAAGGTGTCCAATAGATTCTCCATCATTATAACACATCAGGCAAATAGGAGAGATATAGTGATGTTTTGGAGGTTGTCACAGTATTCAGCTTTGAGCAAGAGGCCTCCCAAACCATGAAGGAAACTCTAGGGGATTGTGGGGAGCCAAATCTTTTTGCCCAGAAAAGGAGGGGGATGGGTTGGTGGTTAGATGCCTATTCAATTCATTCACTGCTGAAACAGATTAGTACATTCCTTTATATAGGCAAGCTTTCTTGCTAGGGAAGGAGACTAGCATTAAATCTAAATTACAATTACTACCCTCTATTTAATTCCCCTAAAAACTACGATGATGTTTGGTATCGATGGTGTTTCTCGGAGCAACAATGCCAGTTCAGCATCAAGTAGGCATTTAAGAGAAGAATGCCCCATTTATTGTTTGGTTGAGCCATTTAACTGATAAACATTTATCTTGGGTTATGTGAGAGTTGTTTATCATAAAAGTGCCAAAAATGTCGTTTTCAGATCTTTGGGTGGTTTTTTACTGTTTGACATATGCGGTGCCTAGTGGTGCTATGTTGTAAGAAAATGTTTAAAGGCGATTTTTTTTCTCATTTTTCAAGGCAACTTCGTACAGAACACTTGTCAGTTTTGTTTGAAAATGTTTAATTCTAGACCTGGCAATTGGGTTGTGTGGGTCGGGTTCGGGTTGGGTCACGACCCTATGGGGTGTTTTTGGGTCGGGTTGAGCTTCGGGTTGGGCTGTCAAATGCTGGACCCTAACCCTAAATGTTCGAGTTAGGGTTGACCCATGGGTCAATTCGGGTCATCCCAAAAAATAACTGAAATTTAAAAAAAAATAAAGAAAAACTACATGAAAAATGCCAAAATTAAAAGAATTAACCTTAAAATTCCAAATATAAAATAAAAAAACTTGAACATTTAACAATTTAAAGAGAAGACTAAATAGAAAAAATTAAAGAGTGGAAACTTCTAACAATGCATAAATAGTTCCAATTAGACTTGACAATCGGGTCAGCAGGTTGACCCAACCCAACCTGACCCAGTTTTTCCGGGTTGGGTTGGGTCAGGTCATTCTCACATTCAGGTAGCTAAATATGAGACCATAACCCTGTTTTTTTGGGGTTGGGTTCGCGGGTTGGGTCAACTTTTTGCCAGGTCTTTAATTCCCAATTCGTGCTCCAATTTAATGGATTGGCTAGCCATTGACTTGGATTTTGGGTATGCTATGGGCTAGAAACATACATGTGGATATAATTATTGGGTATGGATTAAAAACATGGGTTTGGATATGGGTATGGATCTAAAAATGGGCTTGGTCTTGGGCTTTGGTATGGTTTTTCTTTTCTTGCTGTTGTATACTTTCAGCCCATCAAATGCTTCAGTATCAAGCCGTTGTTTGTTCTGAAATTCTCATCATAGATAAAAAGATAAGAGATCAGTGATTACAAAGAGAAACATTAAAAAATAGCGGGGCAAAGTTCCCTTTCTACCAAAGATGGTTGTATAAACATATCATTCTAAAGCCTAGTGGTGACATATCACTCTTCCATTTCTGTGTTAGTGATGCCTTTTGTCTTCTTGCGTCAAACCCATTTTATATAAGCTCATTGAGTTGAAAACCAGTCATTTACAATTCCTCTTTACTATTCTTATTCATTTTTGAGAATGATAAGATGTAATCGTGCTATACCTAAAATTGGTAGACACCTTGTATTAAGGTACCAAGGTGAGGCACAAGGTGACCATGAAGAAAACACCTTAATTGGGTTGTAAGTCCTGCTATGTATTTTTCAGAAAATTGCTTAGAAAGGTAAAATTGTGGGAAAGTCCATTAGGCATTTTGGGAAATTCCTTAATGGCTTTCCCATAAGTTCCCATTTCTCATTTATTTCCCAAGGAATAAAGCACAGCATAAAGGTTTCATTCTCTTTCTGCCTTGTTTTCTTATTGCTTCCTTCATATTCTTTATTCGGTAGGGTTTCAAAGTTAAGATGGGGTGAAGAACTCTGTATTTCTACATTTAATAGAAGTAAGATGGTCTGAAACAATTTTATTGAGTTGCCTGTTTTATTTTATTTCTATATTCTTTTTAGATGTCTTGAAGATAATGTTTTTATTTTATGGTGGCATTTACAGACTGAGAAAAATTCCAGATCTGGAGTCAGTTCGTGCAAGGCTTGCTGAGGCTTTGTGAACAGCTATTGGCATTTGAAAAGAAAAGGTGAAAAGTCGCCATGATGTTGTAATGTCTTTCTTTTGTTGGTTGAACTGGGAATCAGAACACACTCGACTCACAACGAGGCATACTGAGTTTAACTTGGATTTTAGGGTTTTACAACTCTGAATTGGTTCATGGAGAATTCTTGTAATCCCTACATATGCACAGGTTTCAACCTGTGACTTTGCTACTTGTACTCTTTCACAAAAACTCTGGGTGTAAATTTCTTGGACCAACCATGGATCCCATGTTTGAAATTTCGATGAATGAACTCCAGTGAATATGGTTTCATTTTATTTGTTAATTGTTTGCTTGGAAACAAACAATGGTTGCTTCAGTATTTGTGTTCATACAGGTATTAATATATTGTGTCCTATTTGTTTGGAAGGTTCAAAATAGAATCATGATCTGCTCTCAACCTTGCAGCACTTCCAGCCGTGCATTGGAAACATCTCCCCTGAATGACAACTGACAACATACAAGTACAGGAGGTGTTCCCAATGTGTAACTACAATGTGCTGTGAGGTGAAAATCTGAGTTCTTCAAAAGTATTTCAGTATGCTTTGGATATGCATGAAAATGGTGGAAGATCTTGGTATGCATTGAAGCATTAAGAAACTCTTATAAATCCACAGATAAATTATGTCATTTTAATGTTTTAGTTACAATCAAATGAAGCCTAGGTCTATCCCACCGCCCATTGAAATTTGATTTTTTAAATTAAAACTAGACACAAGCTTGGGCTTGGATTTGGAAAAAAATCCATAATGTATGATCCAAAACCGATCAGGGTATGAAAAAAGAGTCCGGATTCAGTGGATCCTTCAGTTTATGGGGCGCGTGAACCCTCTAATAGGAGGCGTGTACGTGGCCCTCATTGGGGCTTGCTATTCCGTTAACGTAACAAGTCTGTTAAGGTTGTCAGCCCGGTTCAACCGGTTCGATAAAGACAAAACCTGAGCCTTATCTTTCCCCCTCATTCGTTTGAACTCTCTTTCCCCATTTTCATTTTCACCTGAGCCCTAGCTCAAGAGCAAGGGGACCACCCTCACCAGTGGCGATTTCAATGAGTCTGGCGGTGTGGAGCCAACCGGTGACAAGAATCAATCAGCGGTAAGCATCCATTCTCCTCATTTTTCTTCCACTCCAATCTGATATTCTTCCTTTGATCACTGGTGGCAATTTCTTTGTATAACCGAGCTTCGACAGCGTGGAATCAACTAGTTGACAACTGTTAAGTCTAAACCGGCAATTGGGTTGGGGCTTCCACGCCGGTTTACCGCCGACTATCCAACATCACGTGCTCTGACCCAATTGCATCCTTGTTCGGATCAAGCAACAGTCATACCCGATATAAATTCAACCTTCATGGGTGTGCTCAAGATCTCTCTGTCTTCGTAGTAGAACGAGTTCAACCTTCTAAAGACTCTCACCTATGAAGAGAGATGCCAACTATCGGAGGCACAGGAGTTTTCTGGCTTGCACGTGGTTATTGCTTGGCAAATACACACTCCATGGCGGGATTTGATGTAG